ATGAAATTCTCATAAAGTGAAATCTGCTTTCCCTAGACAGGACTGGAAATTAGAAATTAAGTTTGTAATATCAACTTCTGGAGTCAGGCTGTACAATAAATCTACCGCTAAGTGGAGGAAACAGCTACTACAAGCTTATCTCTTGGGAAATAGCAGATTGACTACTGTACTACAAGAGAATGGATGAGAAGGTCATAGTTATTGACCATTACAAAACCTCCCACATGGATTAATCATCAGTACATGACACTTGTTAGGCTCTGTAGGTAGCCTGTAAAAGCAATCTCTCTGTGGAAGTTCCTCAGAATATTCCCTCTTCCCATGTCCAGCATCAAAACTGAAATAATCTCTTTTGCAACAATAATCTCAGTTGCAACAATTATTGGTTATGGATGGATCAATACACTTACCTTGTTCTAACCCAACACAGTGTACACTCAGACTCATAATTCAGACTGAGAAACTATAGATTCAGTACAGACTCTCCAGTTTATCTTGATGGAATACTAAAAATCAGAAAGGATAAAACTAAGAGATCACTTCCATCTTCTTCACCCTCTGAAGTAAAACTTGGTCATTATTAAACCATGGCTGATAGATGTCTTGCTGTAAACATATCCAGCATTACATAACATAGCATCGCTTGTTTGGATGCTTGACCTGACTGATCAAAATAATGGGCTTAGGAGAAGGTGGAGCAAATCTGAAGGTTTTGGAGCCTGATTTTTCCCAATTATTGTGTCCTAATTGCATCCTCATGTCCCTTTGCCAGTATCCATAGCTATGATGATTTCATTCCCTTTTTCCATAGGCGTCTTTCATAGATTATTGAAGTCCATAAAACAAATAGGTTCAAGCAGTTGAAAGGCGTTGCAAATGAGGCACATTTAAGAGCCACAATGGACTGCTATAGTCCAGTGGTGGGTTCCGCCCAGTTCTGCCGAGCCAGTAGCGGTAACGATATGATGTCACCGAACCAGTTCTGCCCCCACACTCCCCTCCACCCCCCACACCTACCCCCCCACATTAGTCTTACCTTTTATTTGGCCCAATCCCCAATCTATTGCTGCCTCCTGAGTCCCAGCTGATGGCTAGAGGGAAAAAAACTGTTTAAACTCTTGCCACAGGACTTCAAAGGGCCGCCCTACAGCTGATCAGTGTTAAAAGAAAACAAATGAGTAGACCGGTGCCTGCAAAAATACATGAGTAGATCAGTGCCTGCAAAAATACATGAATAGATCAGTGCCTGCAAAAATAAATGAGTAGATCGGTACAGCTCTGCAAGCAGTTAAAAGCCTGGTAGACCTGCTAAATCCTAAATAATTGTCACATGACCATCAAGCCACGCCCACAAAATAAGCCACACCCACAGAACCGGTAGTAAAAAAAATTATAACCCACCCCTGCTATAGTCGTAAAGAAGATAAGTGCGCAAGAGTGTTCTGTTGTCTTTGCACTGGAAGGAGAGATCATATCTTGGTGCCCTGAAATGGGTGATGATTACATTCACTTTAAAAAGACATGAGGAGAAGGAGGGAGAATCGGGGAGATGTCAACAGGAAAAAGAATGCATGACTTACATCTGTGCAGGCACGGCTTGTTCCTCACACTGTGACAGCAAGACAGCTTTTCTGTATTTATTTACAGCAAAGCTTAATAATTAATGAACACTTATTATTATAGCTGCTCTAAAACCATATGGCATGCGGGATGTGAACAAATCTTTTGAGACAAAGCACTCAGTGGAAGCGTGTTCTGATTTAGCTACTTTTTCTTAGAGCAGAAGGCGAGGTGCTTTCCCAGCATGGAGTGTTTACTTGAAGGTCTTCATTTAAATAGGCTTCTGTTCTGTTCTGTTCTGTTCTGCTCGGGCTCTTGTTTCAACAAATTGTTGGCCAGATCTTACATCTATTGAACTTAGGAGAAAACAGTGAAGATAATGGGAATGATAAAAAGTTGGAGATGGCATCTGCTCAGCTACATAGCAGATCAAAGCCCTGGCCTGTGTGTCCCTTCCCCACTCTACACGGTCCAGAAATAACTACGGCATTTAAGTATTTAGGAAGACATAGACCCATCCTGGACATCTGGTAAGCAGTCAGATCATAAATGTATCAAAACAGAAACACAAAATGATCTCAGTCACTAGCTGTTGGATTAAGTAGGCCTATTCAGAAGCTAGAACCATGCTAAAGAGTGTGTAGTACATTGAATTGAGTAGTGAATTACTCCTAGGAGAATGTCATGGCCCCATTGGAGCCCAGGTCTGAGGAGGAAGAGGATATGAAGCTGGGGCCAATGGAAGGGGAGGGCACAGTTCCTATGGCCAGGGGTGGGATTCTACCGGTTCGAACTGGCTTGGGTGAACTGGTAGCTCTACGATCAGCTGGGAGCAAACCGGTTCGCTCCGACAATCAGGTCGGCCCGCCCACCTGCCCCTGCGGTTTACTTATCTATATCTTCTCAGCTGATTGGCGCGGCAAAGCGGATTGCCGTGCCTCAGCTGTGTTACTCCCAAATGGTAACACAGAAGTTAGTATTTGTAAAAGTGCGCACGCACTCACAGCGCACGTTAGGCATGTGCAAAATGTGCGATCACTAAACTGGTTGTTAAACCAGCAGCATCCCACCACTGCCTATGACCCATGAGGAATGAGGCAATCCTGGGTCCCTTGAGCCTTGGATGAGTAGGCAGGGAGGAAGAGAGGGCGCAGGCTGACCAAGGAAGTGGGGATGGAAAGGACAAGCAGTGGACCAGAGGAGGGACAGAGCTCCAGAGACAAGCAAATGCATCCCCCACCCGATCCCAGAGTGCAGAGAATGGAGAGGAGGCAGAGTCAGCACAAGGCAATCTGACTACTCGGGAAGAGGGTGCCCCGTCTCTCCTCCCGAGGATCATCTGGAGAGTAGCATTTAAGGAGAGGGTTTTGTCAGGAACAAGTGTTGTATTTCCCAGCACTCCACGGCTCCAAGAAGGACTTTGCTCCAGAATCCTTGCTGATGTGGACTGAGGTTTGATCTTTTGCTTTGACATTCATCGTGCCAAGTTTGAGATCCAGTCTTGTCCTTAGAGCAGTGCTGCTCTTATGGATTTAACTGCCGGGAAGTTGCATGTGCAGGTGTGTGTGTTTGAGCCTTGCTCTTGGGCTGTAAGGCAGGGGTGAAATTCAGCAGGTTCTGACAGGTTCTGTAGAACCGGTAGCGGAAATTTTGAGTAGTTCAGAGAACCGGCAAATACCACCTCTGGCTGGGCCCAGAGTGGAGTGGGAATGGAGATTTTGCATTATCCTTCCCCTGCCACGCCCACCAAGCCACACCATGTGCACCAAGCCACATCCACAAGACCGGTAGTAAAAAAAATTGGATTTCACCACTACGGTAAGGGTAACCTGGAGAACGGACCGGGAATTGCTGGATTGTGGGGATTGTAGAGGATGGTGGTTGAATAAAAATTGTCAAGCTTCCGGCAAGCATGTGTTGCTTGCACGCCAACGCTGGGTCATAAGAGAGAAGGAGGAATTGGGTTGGTGTCAAGACTTTGCCTAACAAATAGGCAAATGTCTTTACTTTAAAAATCATATGCTACTATAAAATTATTAGTTTATATACTGTCCCAAAAAAAATCTATGTATTGTTTTTAAATTTACTGTGAGCTTCAAACATCTGTTTCCCTGTTATTTTAAAATGCAAGAATCTCAGGAGTTAGATGAGGCTCAAGGATTCTCCTTTAGCTGTGTTAAAGATGCTGTTGGTTTCATTCACTATTTTACAGGTAGTCCTTGACTTATAATAGTTCATTTAGTGACCATTCAAAGTTACAACAGCACCGAAACTGACAACTGGGTTTTGTGACCTCTTTTTGTGAACTTCTGATCCAGTGGTGGGTTGCTACCGGTTGGTCCCGGATCAGGAGGCTCCGCCCACCCGCCCGGACATCTCTGCGCATGTACAGAAGCATCACACATGTGCATGCTCAGAAGCATCAAGCGCACGTACCCACAAGCAAACTGGTAGCAGCCGAAATTGAAACCCACTACTGTTCTGATCAGCAAAATCAATGGGGAAGCCAGATTCACTTAACAATCGTTTAACTAATGTAACATCTATACTGATTCATTTAACAACTGGCAAGAAAGGTCATAAAATGGGGCAAAATTCACTTAGCAAATGTCTCACTTAGCAACAGAAATATTGGGCTCAATTGTGGTCATAAATCGAGGATTATCTGTAGTTAGCCTTAATTAAGGTCCAGCCTTTCTTGCTGTATTTTTCTTGGTCTATGAAATAAATGACAGGTCTTTGCAGGATTGAATTTGCACTTTCTGATGAAAAAGAAGCAATAACCATGGCTAGATAAATATTATTTATTCGTTTGTTCAATTTCTAGGTCAATGTCTCCTTTAGTTAGCTGCATTCTATACTGAGGAAATAGCTTATATGCAGTGAGTAATATACAATGTGTTTAACATTGGCTCAAGGTTGACTCAACCTTCCATCCTTCCGAGGTTAGTAAAATGGGAACCCAGATTGTTGGGGGCAATATGCTGAATCTGTAAACCGCTTAGAGAGGGCTGTAAAGCACTGTGAAGTGATATATAAGTCTAAGTGCTATTGCTATCTAAAGGAGTGAAAACAAACTCAAACCAGCACTGAGTTACAACAAATCATGGTCAAAATGCAAGTGAAATGAAAGAAACTGAATCGGCTGACAATGATTTGATAGGCAATCAAAGTCTGAAAAGCATCAGTAGGATCAAGGAAAGACTGGTAACCGTGCAATACATCTTAGCAGCCATGTTCCAAAGGCTGCGTCTTCTATTTCAGGACAATCCTCAGTTGGAAGGTATTTTCTATTTGCAGGCCATAATGAACTGCAGAGTTTGTGATTCTTTGTAGTTAGTGGCACAAGCTGTTACAACTAAAAGAGAAAACTTGAAGATGCAATCCGCTGCTTTGGTCATGCCAAGTTAATAGAACAGCTTCTGGTTATGTCTTTCCAGGAATTTGCTGATTCCGTGTACCAAATAATTACAGAGAAATTTCAGGAGGTGACGGATAACTTTGCTGCCCTCCATGCATGTCACAGATCCCTTGCAGGAATTGTAATGACTAGAGGTAAGCGTCCAATTTTCTTGCTTTTTGCTTAGCCTATAGTTTTATTTATTCTAAGAAAAGCCTGTCAATTCATTCCCTTAGTTGCTTGAATATAGATAATATCTGTATGTGCCCCAGTCTACCTGCACTTAGTAATTAAAAGTGTGTGCGATGGTAACACTATTCTGAAATGTAGCTACAACATTAAGTTCACCTGCCTGAATCTCCAATAAGGTAGGAAGCATTTACGTTGAAGTCTCCCAAGCTGCTTCGAACTTCGCATAATGCAGCAGGAAAGTGAGATAATGTGCTTTAAATAAGCATATAAATAAAGCATATAAGCACTTCATCCTTTTTACAACATTATGGTGAAGATAAAGTCCCATTTCAGAGGAATGATGGGATGCAAATGTCTTCCTTTTCCAGGCATTAAAGCAGCCACATCTTGTGCAGCACTTGTGCGCATCTGCTTCAAAAGCTGTTCCAGTTTGCCCATTCATGTGCATATAACTCCACCTGTGGAACTGCTAGTAAAGCAAAGGAGCTGTGTGTACACACGTGGAAACTGGGGGGATGGTTTTCAAAACAGCCATACAGATCCAGCAAAAGTTCTATATAAAAGCTGTTCTAAGGATTGAAAGAGAAGTTTCCTGCATGCTAATATGTTTTATTCTTTTTTAAAAAAAATAACCCAAAACAGTTTTCCTCGGTGCATAAATTAGTCAGGGTGTCAGATGCAAAGAATCAAGTTTATTTGTAAAGTTGCAACATGGAAGTGTTTAACTGACAGTTTATAAAATAGGAAGTTTCTCCCTGACACCTACCCTAAATCATCATCCTTGTAATTTCAACCTATTACCATATTTTTCGGACTATGAGACACATCTGACTATAAGACACACTAAATTTACAGGGGGAAAACAAGAAAAAAAATTGTTTTTGGTGAAAACAGGCCATGCGAAGCACTGCAGAGTGCTTCTGGGGGCCGGAGAGGGTGAAAACGCAATGCACAGAGAGCTTGGGAGCCCCAAAATGCCCATATTTGGTCTATAAGACGCACCTAAATTTTCACCCACTTTTGGGGAAGGAAAGATGCGTCTTATACTCTGAAAAATACAGTAATTCCAGTCCTACACTCTGGGACAATAGAGTACAAATCCACACCATTTTCTTTCCAAATTCTTTAATTCTTAGGTTTCTATGTGTACAGGTAATTCTTGATTTATAGTTCATTTAGTGACCGTTTGAAGTTATAATGGATCTGAAAAAAGTGACTTATGATTGCTTTTCACACTTACAACCATTGCAGCAACCCCATGGTCATGTGATCAAAATTCAGATACTTGGTAACTGACTCATATTTATGACTTTTGCAGTGTCCCGGGGTCATGTAATCAACTTTTGCAATCTTCTGATGATCAAACTTAATGAAGAAGCCAAGTTCATTTAACAATCTTGTTACCAATTTAACAACCGCAGTGGTTCATTTAATAATTGTGGTAAGAAAGGTCATAAAATGAGGCAAAATCTCTTAACAAATGTTTTGCTTAGCAACAGAAAATGTTGACCTCAATTGTGGTCATAAGTCAAGGACTACTGTATTCACATTCACACATCCATAGACATTGTTTTATCTAACTCTTAACCAAACTGTTATTCCTATAATTATTTCATTTTATTTCATTTACACATTCTGCTAGGGAAATATTGCCTCATACCAATTATGTTTGAGTACAGAAAGTTGCTAGTAAGAATAATTGATCTTTCCCTTATATGTGTTTTATTGAATACTACATCAATATGGATATTACCTTAACATCTACTCTAGCTGCAAACAGAAATATATTCTTTAACATATTAGCTAACAAAGACTATTATTGGGATCTTGCTACAGCATAGCACTTTGGGGTATCTGCAGAGAATTAAAAAGAGTAGACATCCATGGGGAAAGAAGCTTCACCTGTTTTATGTGCAGCAAACATTAAAAATTGTCACATTTTGATCACATCATTGTGATTGCCATCTTGATTTTTTTTAACCGTATCCTGCAGATATCCCTGATAGAACTATGAGTCTAATTTCCTATCTTTTATTATGGCTTTTCAACAATTTAAGAATGGCATTTTTCATTATGCCCCAGAATTGCATAGATGAAATGTAGAAGCATGATCTGATTCCAGCTGGTTTTTTTTCCTCCCTTTCCTACATAAAGTTTGATTTCAGCTCCAAATAGAGTATTAAAGACTTGAATTAGTGTATTAAATGTAGACTGTAACCTCATATGCATATGTTTAGAGTTTGACAGACAATTTTTCAGAGAAAGCAGGAGGTATCCAATGCATATTCAGAGGAGCTTGCTAAATTATCTGGAACACACTGGCATTATGCTGTAGATTTAGGCTATACGATATGTTAACTGCTAGCGGCTCCAACTAGATTACTAGACAGAAGTGAACCATAGTAAACCAAAGACCTACTCCTCAACATGGTATTCCTTGGGTACTTGAGAATTCAGCTCAAGAATGCAGTGAAAATTAGCTGAGTTATCTTGAGCCACATCTTGGTTTAGGAAAAGCCAGTTCTAAATAACCATTCCAGGACAGGAAATCACAGAATAGTGAGAACGTCCGTGATACATCTAGACAAATACTGAGGTCCTCGCTGAAGAAGGTTCTTCTAGGGAAAATGAGAGGTCAACATTCTGTTGCTATTAATATATAAGCACAGAAAAACAGCAGAAAAAATCTCCACTAGAAGGAAGTCCCCTATTTGGCTTTTTGATCAAATTTCACCTATAAAATCACCCGCAGTATTGTTAGCAACTGGAAGGTGAAAAGTGCTCAGTTATAGGAGAGAGCACCTTATGTTGGGCTCTCTTATAACTGTATGCTAATGAATATTTTGGTTCATCCTGATAAATTTACAGCCAAAGTAGTTTAATACAGTATGTCTCAGCAGAGAGTTATTCATTCATTCGTTCGTTCGTTCATTCGTTTATTCATTCATTCATTCACTTATTCCTGCAGGAACTGAAGAGACACTCAGTGGTTTATGCAACAAAGCTGTAGGTTTCAGTGAGAGCAGCTCATGCCTGAAAATTCTCTTGAATTTATTAGAATAAACAGTTATTCTTCTACATTGAACCTTGGCTGACTGATTCTCTAATCTCATGATTCTTTGCGCCTGGATCTAACTCTGAGACTTTGAGTAGGCTTTTGATTAATTTGACTGGCTCTTGGTTGATTTGCTGGTTATACACTGATGTGTCTCCTTAATTGCAAGTATCCTTTTTTGTGATTCTAGGTGATTTATAAAAAAAACGAGGAAATCATATAAAATTCATAGCTAAAGTTAAAAAGTCTGTGGTTGATTCTTCCATTTGCCGAGCTTGACCTGGAATAGGATAGTTACAATAATATTTGTTCTCTTGGGAACCATTCTATTACCAGTATATCCTTACATCTCAAGGTAGATCCACAAGTAGATCCCCAAGTGACAGCCTGCACCAGAAGTACATTGAAAGTGCACCTCTGCACACAGGAAAGAGGGACTGATTCTCCATCCATGGATCATTCACCATTCCAGAAATTCTCATGTAGACTTTTAGTGGGAAATAGGCATGTAGGACTTGATAAAGTGTGAGAGATAGAAAAGAAATGAAAGAGGAAAAGGGAGTATTATGCAATGCTTTGGTTTCACCCACATCAGATCAAGCTCTAACCTTTGCTAGTTATGGGCCCAATTTATGCATATTTCTTGTCAGTCTAGAATTCAATTATTAGAAAAAAATAAATTTAAAAAACTAAATGCTGGAATGTGTAATACCACCTTTCCTCTTAACTGGCAATTACTGGACAGAATAAAGAACTGCAGTTGTTCATTATGTGGCCCATCTTATTATTTTCAAATAATAAGAGTAAAAAGACTTCCACACTTAACTTGGATAAAAGATGGCAGGTATTTAAATACTGTTTTTTCTATTTAAGGGTAATGCATCTGGACAGTTAACAACGGATAGAAATGTTTTCCGTCTTCTTTTCTTTTCAAATGCATAATCTAAGAAATTTAGTCATCTTCAGAGGGGAAAGCAAGGATGCCTACAGAAGAGTGATATACCCCGATTTCTTTTTTCTGCGTCAGAGTTCATTTTTCTCTTGCAAGCTCTCAGTTTCTCTCTTTTTATGAACCTGACAATCACTTTGATCTTAAAAGCAAGCAGGGATGCCTTTTCTATTATCTTATATGAAATAAAGATGAAGTGGACGAAAGGGGCTCTAAACAGCAATTTCATGCTGTGATAAAAGTTAGAAAATTAGAGTCCATATTGCTTGAAATGGATCTTAATCATCACTAAGTGGGGTAGCTGGAGAAAAGTAAAAGTTGACAATCTGTCTCCATGGATCCTTCTAGTGGTTTTAAGATTTAGAATGCATGACACCTAAAAGGAATAAGGAATATTAATGGGCAATCTACTTCTGGCCCTTAGTGGGAAGCTGGTAAAATATGTTTGCAGAAAGATGCAATAATCTGTCGGTTTAAGGATCCAACCAGGATGCCTTTCAAACAAAATCAATTACACAGGTAGACTTCTTTCACTAAATGGTGTGAGAGGAGACAGGTGACCATTTTTCAAGGATGGTTTAATTTGTATTCTTATACTGAACAGACAGTGTGGGGCTAATGCAGGGGTGACAGGTTCTGGAGAACCGGTAGTGGAAATTTTGAGTAGTTCAGAGAACCTGCACTCTGGCCCCAGAGTGGGATGGGAATGGAGATTTTGCAGTATCCTTCCCCTGCCACGCCCACCAAGCCACGCCCACAGAACTAGTAGTAAAAAAAAATTAATTCCACCATTGGGCTAATGACAAAAATGAACCCTTCCAATTTGATAATTCTTTGAACCATCGTGAGATCAGAAAAATCAAACATATCTTTGTGCAAAACTCTTGAATGTTGAGCAAGAGTTTTATTTATTTATTTTATTTATTTATTTCGTCAAGCATGTATTTTATGACAGATAC